GGGGGGGGGTGGCGGGGTGAAAAGTTGAACAAGCATAAGTGAGCAATGAATATGTTAACATTTCGATAGAAAGTTAATCCCATACGGGTACCTTGCCCATGATCCCAGTTAGTCAGGGGACATGATCACCCGAGACCTGAACTATCCATTTCAAGCCAGTCTGCCAGTGAACACTCAGCAGTCGGTTCAACTGTCACTGTGTCCACTGTCCAGAAAAGTAAGACATGCTCCATGTAGCTCAGATTGAATCAACATCTACAATCGATCGCCAATGACACAGCTAGCGAGTACTCCTCCTGAAAGCTGAAAGGAAATTCCAGGGAATCGAGTGTGCGTACCAACGGCCTGCCACCCGCGGAGGAAGACGCGGTCGAGCTCGAGCCGGAGGAACTCCGGGTCGGTGTACCACCCGCTCGGCGGCGTCACCGCGGAGGCCAGCGGGATCGCCGGGTCGAACTCCGCCGCGAGCCGCCGCGCGGGCTCGCCCGACGCTAACGCTGACCCCGCCGCGCACACGCGCGACGGCGCGGCGCGGCGGGCCCTGGGGCGGGCGGCTGCGGAGGCGGAGGAGGACGAGGACAGGGCTAGGAATTGCGCGGTCGCCATCGCCGGAATTGGAGAGTGGGGGAGCAGGCGGCCGTGAGTGCCTTCTGTTTTGTCGTTGTTGCTCGGTTGGTGCTCTGCTTAGCGATGAGTTAATTGCGAGGAACTGCCACACTTCAGCACGTCGTAACGAGTTAGTATCGTATCACTAGTCACTTTTTTTTGCAATTCAGTACCGGCTCAGAGCCTAAGTGTTGCAAAATGATCGGACAGCCGTATAAGCACGTATTGACCACGTATCTGACCGACCGGGCCCACGTGTCAGGTGCAACGGTGGCCTACCCGCGTGCACCCGCTTGGTCACTCGTTCCAGCCCGGCTCGGTCGCACCATGTAGTTGGGTCGGGGCTGGTCGGACCGGAGCCAGCCGCACTCTGTCCCTTTCCTGGCCCCATCACCCTCGTCTCTCCCATCCGCCGCCGCTCGCCACGCAGACCGCCGCATCCGCCATCGCCGCCGCACCATGGTCTTCGAGGATGAGAGCAGCGACTACTTGTCCAGCCTGTAGATCTCCTCCTCCAACGATGGTATGCATTATCAGGTTAGTGGTAGAGCTAGGGTGAGTTAGGGTTAGGGTTTCTGATTTGGGGATTTGCTGATCTGCTTTTCTGATTTGGGGATTTGCTCCTGTAGATTCCTGCTAGCATTGAAGACCAAGACTACAATGGCTTGGAGAAGGCACCAGAGGGGCTGTGCGTGGAGCATCGGCTGCCAACTGAGCGCCGTGTAGCTTTTGAATCATTTGAGACGGGCAGGAGGTTTCTAGTTTGTGCCCAGCCTGTAAGATTCATGCTCTCTCTCTATGTTCACTGTAATATAGCTGGTAGCCTCTGTTTAGTAAGTTAGTACTACTGATGGAGTACTCCTACTGATGATGAAGCACATTGTTTAGTTATTTATTAGTAAGTTAGTAGCTTTGATGCTCACCTTTGTTAAACATGCCACCTGATGTGTCACACCCTAGCTAGTCATGCATTGGAGTACTGCATCATGTTTACTCTTTCATCAGAAACTTGAAATGGGGATGACAGAACCCCCAGTCCCCTCTGAAACCAACTAGGGTTTACTAAAATAATTTTCAATGAACCTGAAATGCCCTTCTAAAATGCCCATCATTTTTGCCTTGGTTCAGAACCTCTGCCAAAAGTGGTGCACATTTTCCTAGGCCATCCTAGGGTTTTGAATTAAATCATAGCTATTTGAATTTGGGCATTTAAAATAATATAAAATATTTAAATGCTCAAATATCTCCAAACTAAAATGTTTCATGTTGGAAATAATCCAACTTTGGACCAGGAGTAGTTTGGTGATTTTTGGAGTTGCCTAGGTATTTTATTTAATTCAACAAAGTTGCAGATATATTAAATAAAAACAGAAAACAGAAAATAAATAAAGGGAGAAGCTTACCTGGGCTCCTCCCTGTGCGGCCCAGCCCAGCCGGCCCAGCACTGTGCTGGCCCGTGCCAGCCAGCTGCTTCCCCTCGCCAGAGCAGGCAGGGAGGTGAGCATGGCGCGCCCGAGCTCGCCACGCACCACCCAGCCTCTCTGCATCGCCCTGGTCGCCGTTGCGCCGCGTGGATCGTCTTCTGGTCGTCGCCCCGACCTCGCCGACACCCCATTCACTCTCCCTCGGCTCTCCCTCGCTCTCTCTCTCTCACGGCCGAAGCTCACCGTCGCCGCCGTTCGCCTTAGCCACCGTCTCCGACCACCCCTCGCTCCCCCGACCAGCTCAGGAGCTCCGCCTCGACTCCCTCTTCCTCCCCACCGCTCCACGAGTCCCCGGAAGCCCTGCATCGCCGCCACGTCGCCGTTCCCCTCTTCGGGCTCCGATCACCGTCGCCGACGAATTCGCCGTCTCCAGCGCGTCCCCGAGCCCGTTTCGACGCCCACTGCAACCGCGGTGAGCTACGCCACCGTTTCCCCCTTCTTCCCTGCTCTCTCCCGACCCCTAGGCCCTAGCCCCACCGCGGCCGAAAGCTTCACGCCGCCGCGATGTCGCCGTCGTGGCCACGGTCGCCGTAGCGCCCAACCGAGCTCACCATCGTGCTCCACATCTCACTAGGAGCACGTAGCACGCACCAACGCTACCCCAAACCCCCTGCAACACCCCTCCCGTGCACGACCGAACCCCGGCGGCCGCAACCGAGCTCGCCGCCGTCGACTCCGGCCACCCCGACCCCAACGGACTCCGCCAAGAGCCGCGGGTCGTCCTCAGCTTCACTCCGGTGGCCTCCGCGGTTCATTTGGTGGCCGAAACGACCAAAACCACTATCGCCACCGCACTGATGGTCGCCGCCGGCCAGAACTCCGGCGAGCTGACGTGGCCTAGTTAATTAGCCACTAACCCACCACCTACTGACGCTGACAAGTGGGCCCCAGGGCTTAGTCAAAGCTAACCAGCCCGGGTCAACACGGGATTAGCCCCTGTGTCACTGACGTGTGGACCCCACACGTCAGGTTTGACCCGAGCCAGCCCTGTTGACCTGCTGATGTCACCGTGACGTCAGGCTGACGCAGTAAATGATATTTCTGGATTTAAATTAAATCAGGAAATTCCAGAATATTAATTAAACTTCAAAAATTCATAACTTTTATTCTGTAACTCCAAATTGGACAAATTATATATGAAAAATAATCAGAAAAATCCAATCTATCCATCTGTACTATTTTCATGCATGATCAAACAAGTTAAATTGATGTTTTAAACAGAACAAGAAAAGGCACTTTAAAAGGCCATATTTGAATTTGGAATTTGAATCTTTGATTCAAATTTGCTCAAACACTTCTGGCTTTAGTTGCATTAGCCCAACACACTCATATTGCCATGTTTCATGCATGCATCATATTGTTGCACATTGTTTGGTGATGCCTGTGTATCGTTATCCTTTGCGACAGGATCTGTCCCCGAGGAGTACCGTGACTACCCTAACGAAGAACCGTATCCGTGCAACGAACCATCAGGCAAGCAACCAACCATTTGATCATATCGATACAATCCCATGTTCTTGCTCCTGCTCTCTTTTACTGCATTAAGACAACGCGATTCAAACTGCTGTGTGCTACGGTAGTTGAACCCATTTCCTCTGCATGACCTGTCATTGCCACAGTAACTAGATGAAACCCACTAGCATGTGTAGGAGTTGATTGAGCCCTATGTATGTGTTGTTCCTACCTTGCTATGCCTGCTATGCTTAGAGTCGTGTCAGGTCTGGTTCATCTGGGTGATGGGCTAGAGTGAAATGGTTATGTCGGTAATGAGAGTGGTGTGGTGAACACGATTTGGTAAAGGTATCGATGAGAGGCCATGTAGGAGTACATGGTGGGTTGTTTCATTGAAGCCGACCTTAAGCACTGAGATCTGTATGTGTGATTTAAGATACAGCTACTACCATGCATTGGGCCCTGAAATATGACCCCGCTCGACTTCTTATTCACCCTAGCTCTCTGTCCAGGAGTTGCAAGTAGTTTCTGGTGTTTGTAGCCTACTGGAGGCCGTGGACAGCGCTGACCGTAGGGGTGGGCTGTGATGCGGTAGGTACGTGGCACGGTGTACCGAATACCCGTTAGGTATCTCGGGAACCCTGTTCACATCGTTCGGGGCCGTATGGGAAACCTCGGCCGGACTCCCTGCGGATGGAACCTGAATAGGCGATAAACCTGGACTAGAGGCTTAAGTGTTTAGGTAGGTCGTGGTCTACACACACGTCGGCTTTCGCTTGAAGTCTGCCGAGCACATATCGTGTGCAGACGCTAAGTGGTGGAAACATGTATGAAGAAGTACACCCCTGTAGGGTTATCATGATCTATTCGAATAGCCGCGTCCGCGGTAAAGGACTACTTGGTTGCCTATACAGTTCATAGACAAGTAAATGGAAACTGCTAAAAGCCTCAAGATAAGTGTGAGTGCCGAGGATGGCTCTTCCGTAGGAAGACGGAGGCGGATCCTCGGTAGTGTATTGAAGTGGTGAGTAGTGGACTCGTGTGCGCAAAACCATTTCAAGTTGGAGTATCGTAGGATAGTCTAGCCAAGAGTCAAAGCTGGCTTGCTGCAATAACTCCACCAACCCTTCTTGATAATATGCATATATGTAGGATCTGATGTAAGTCTTGCTGAGTACCTTTGTACTCATGTTGCTATAATCTACATTTTACAGAAGACGCTGCAACCCCTTCTGATGGGTTCTATGTAGACGTTGACATCAACGAGTAGGCTAAAGACCCAGGTGGTGACCCTGAGCTTGTGAAGGACCACGTAGTATAGCTAGGCTTTCCAAGCCTCTTTTATTTTACTAGTTGTCTGTACTCAGACAAGTTACTTCCGCTGCTGGTTTGTATGACTGTATGACTTGTATGTTGGGTCGTGAGACCCGTACCTTTGTGTATGTTATGTATGGCTCCCTGAGCCTTAAATAAAGTACTTGTGTTGTAGAGTCATGTTGTGATGCTTCGTTGTATTTGCACATATCGAGCATATTGTGTGTATGATTGAAATGCTTGGTATGTGTGGGATCTGACTATCTAGTTGTTTATCTTTAGTAGCCTCTCTTACCGGGAAATGCCTCCTAGTGTTACCGCTGAGCCATGGTAGCTTGCTACTGCTCTGGAACACTTAGGCTGGCCGGCATGTGTCCTTCTTCGTTCCTGTGTCTGTCCCTTCGGGGAAATGTCACGCTTTGAGTACCGGAGTCCTGCTAGCCCAGTGCTACAGCCCGGACCCACTTGCTGATGACCGACACGTTCGAAGCTGGGTCATGGATGCCTGTCCCTGTAAGTCTGTGCCACTTTGGGTTTACGACTAGTCATGTCAGCCCGGGCTCTTTATCATATGGATGCTAGCGACACTATCATATACGTGAGCCAAAAGGCGCAAACGGTCCCGGGAAAAGGGTAAGACGACACCCGTGGGGATACCGTGCGTGAGGCCGCAAAGTGATATGAGGTGTTACCAGCTAGATCGATGTGACATCGAGTCGGGGTCCTGACAGCGTTGGCATCAGAGCCGGA